CCCCAAAACCCCAAAACCCCAAAACCCCAAAACCCCAAAACCCCAAAACCCCATAAGGTTATATAATAATAGAAATAGTATAAATGGGGAACTGTTGTGACTCAAGAGGAGACCAAGCAGGAGTCCGGCTCTTCTGTTTAGGAAATGTAAGTCATAAAATCGACCAATCCTTTTTAAACTTTATAATTGGAAAATTAACCTTATAATGGCTATAGGATGATCCCAGTGTTTTGAAATTTGATAGCTCAATGAGTATCTCTGAAGAAGGTAAGATTAGCGCTACTCGGATTTCATACATCCTTATTTTGGTTAAAAATATGATAATTTAACTGCTTTTAAAATTAACTTAAAATTTAAATACAAACGATACCATTTATGGACCGAAACTTATTCTGGGAAGAGTTAGCATTCAGAATTTGTGTTTGCAAAATATAAATTCATATAATGAGAATATTTGAGCCAAGGATATTAAATACTTAACCTCTACCAGATACTCCATGTCAAAAAGAGGCAATAATATATATTAGTTCAAAGCAGCCACTATACCTAGCCAATAACAGCATGCACACCAAATCTTGTTTCTAATCAGCAACCTTTGACTATTAGATAACTCTTTTTCAAACTTTCTTAAGATACATTTTAGCATAATTCTTCCTGACTAGTTTTGCCTAAAGTTTTGATAGCTTCACTATGTTGAATTAACGATGAAAATTAATAGATAATCAATCTCCGAGGAGGGAGCAAAGAAGAAGATTGGGTGATCCAAAAATAAGACATGCGACACTGGCAGAATCAACGTAAGTGATCTCTGAAATTTTTACTTTAAGATTATATTGGAAATAAATTCCAAGAATCTTGGTGAATATAAAATTTTCATTGTTATTTTGGCAGTTTTGAATGAATTCTAATCTTAAACATATCTTAAATTACATCTGGACAGTCATAAAGGATAGGTTTAAAATATTTATTATTTGTAAAGTTTATGACTCGAAGAACCTTTTCTAATCTTTCATAAAGACGGCAAAATCAAGACCAAGAGAAATCTCAGATACATGAGCAAATGGTCAAAGAAGAGAGGTCGATAGAGAAAGAGCATAAAGATCAGATAGCGGACAGAAGAATGTCGGCATCTAGTGAAGAGCAGATGGCTCCTGATTCTATTAAACCTACTACTCACAAGGGTCTATTGGCTCACTTAGTAGAACAAACATATCTAAACGGTAAGGTTTGCTCCTCAACTACCATTAAGCATCTATATTTGACTGCTAATAAATACTGATATCATGAAGGACTAATTTCTTTACAGATAATGATAAATGAAATTTTGTAATAATGCAGAAGAATATCCACCAAAAGGTTGAAATTGATCCTACTTACCACAAATTAAAAGGGATCTCTGAACAAGCTATATATAAAGCACTGAAGAGCTTTGATAAATAAGTTCAAGCGGGAGAACGGTACAATTAAAGGCAGGCGTAAGTAAACATCTCATATAATTGCTGATTGGTATAGATCTTAAAACAAGGCAGAAAAGGTGTAAAAATGAAAATTCTGGATCGAACGATATGAGCAAGGGAAATAGTCATAAGAATGGCTCGGGAGTCATACATCCAGCCCTTACTAACCATATAAACCCAAACTACAGCTATAACTATCATTATAGCCATGATAGGGGAAGGGATTCAAGCGATGAGATCATGCGAGATGATTCTCCAACGACGTATCTGAGGAATATTGGCATGGGTGATTGAGAAAAGGGGCCAAATAGCTTCTTCCAACTTTCTGAGCATGAAAAGCTTCAGGAGCATGCCTAAATGCTAACACCTAACTTTATAATGTTTCCTTTATGCAAGGGTTCTTGCATCTTAGGATGAACTTTAAATAATAGAGCGAACCGCATTTTATAAATTATTTTATTTCTATGCCTTGTGACTTACTCGGGGTTTTGGGGTTTTGGGGTTTTGGGGGTTTGGGG